GTAAACTTTATGTTATATACATTTTACCACAATAAAAAAAAGTTTGAGGAATTTGATTTTCTTTTGCCTATGCAAATAAACACATTAGTCAAAACTAATTTTTTGTAGATAGCCATCACATTTTTTAAATGCCATTGTTTCAATGCCAATGTGTATCCTACTGAAGAGAACAGTTTCATAAATTAACTGACTTGAAGGTAAAAAAAAAAAAAAAAGGTTAAAATGGTAAATTTCGTTATATGCATTTTACAACAATAAACATAAATAAATAAAACAATCCCCCAAAAGCCTAATATGCTGTTTACAAGAGACAACTCTAAAACAAAAAGATACCGGAAAAAGAAAGTGAAAGAATAGGAAAATATATATCATGCAAATACCAACCAAAAGCAAGTGAAGCTATACAAATAACCAAGTTTAAAAGAGGACTTTTCTTAATGACAAAAGATTCCATTTACCTAGAAGTATAATAAATCTAAGTTTTCATATGGACCTAATTTGGCCTCAAAAATATATAAAACACAAAGTGACAGAACTACCGAGACACGGACAAATCCACATACAGAAATTTTCATGCACCTTCCTTAGTAGCTGTTAAAAATGAGCAAAAATATGAGGAAGGATACAGCTTTGAACTCAATCAGCAAATTTGACCTAGAGGACCTAAGGGGCCCTCCACAGTCAACAAGTAAAGAATCCGCACACAGAACATTTCCCAAAAAACCTAACCATTTGAGGGACCATTCCCAAGTCGTCAAAGAGCTTCAAGGACTGAAATCACAGAGTATGTTTCTTGACAATGATGCAATTAAATATCAATAATAAAAAATTAAAAATATAACTACAATAGCCCTCATACATTTGCAAACTTTAAAAATATATCTCACATATATAAAAGTCAGCCCAGAAACCAGATTTCAAATGGTCTCTGTTTTTGTTTTTTTGAGACAGAGGCTCATTCTGTCACCCTGGCTAGAGTGCAGTGATGTCATCATAGCTCACTGCAACTTCAAACTTCTGGGCTCCAGTGATCCTCTTGCCTCGGCCTCCTAAGTAGCTGGGATTACAGGCGTGCATCAGCATGCCCAGCTAATTTTTTCTATTTTGAGTAGAGATGGCGTCTCGCTCTTGCTCAAGGCTGGTCTTGAACAAATGGTCTCTTTGGTGCCCAGAATTTTTTTGCGCCTGGGGACAATGTCCTGAGGTAAGAGCCAGGTGCGAGGTGTGCCTGTGAGCGGAAGGGCACCTGAAAAAGGAAATGGGAAAGGAAAACCTACAGCCCGCCTTGGCACGTGCACAGGGAGCCAGTTCCAGGAAGGTCCACATACAACAGCAGAGGACCTGGAAACTGACTCCTCCAAGTAGATCCAGGCCCTAGAAAGCCTCCCTGTGCCCAGATTAAAACTGCAGATTATCAGATAGAAACACGATATAGGCAACATAAAGCCTCTGAAAGACTGTAAGCAGGTGAGGTACACATTGGAAATGACTGAGAAGCTGCTTTTGGGGGCAGAACATGACGTGACCATAGTTCTTAACCCTGGCTGCACAGCAGGCACTTGAGACACTCAGAAAGCTTCGTGCCTTGGCCCCACGCCAGGCCAGTGAAATCAGAATCACCGGCAGTGACAGGCCATTTTACCGTTTGGCAGTTCCACGTCTTTGCTTGCAACAAAATGGAAGGCAGATGTGATCCAACAGTCAGCTGATACATCATTAACAATTCTGATAAAGGATCACTAGGTGATTTTGGGTTTATAAACCAAAAGAAGTTCGATGCTGAGTGACTCTGCCATACCAAAACTGCATTCCTATTGAAGTAAACAGTTTCTCAGAAGTCACAAACATACAAACAAAAAGTAGAAGTGGCACTGAAGCCTGTCTTACTCTGACAGTAGTAGCCATCCAGATGGGGGTGGGGTGACATCTCACTGAGATGCATCTAAAATTTTTTTTTTACTTTTGTATAATTGTTCAAAAACTGTGTAATGTGTTCATTTTGATCAATATACAGATAATTATTATTTTTTTTTTTTTTTGAGACAGAGTCTGGCTCTGTTGCCTGGGCTAGAGTGCCGTGACGTCAGCCTCGCTCACAGCAACCTCAAACTCCTGGGCCCAAGCGATCCTCCTGCCTCAGCCTCCCGAGTAGCTGGGACTACAGGCATGCACCACCATGCCCGGCTGATTTTTTCTATTTTCAGTTATTTGGCCGATTTCTTTCTATTTTTTTTTTTTAGTAGAAATGGGGTCTCGCTCTTGCTCAGGCTGGTCTCGAACTCCTGACCTCAAGTGATCCTCCCGCCTTGGCCTCCCAGAGTGCTAGGATTACAGGCGTGAGCCACCGTGCCCGGCCAATATACAGATAATTATTAATATAATCCCAAAGAAAATCTTAAAACTTAGTTTTAAGGTCTCAAAAGCTAAAAAGTTTATATTATTATACTTAGTTTCAAAAGCAATATCACAGGTTATGAATAGGAGATTTTCAAGCATTAAATATATTGCATTAGGATAAAATTCTGTGTGGGAAATTAAATGAAAATACAAGTTCAATTAAAAAAGACTGATGTATTATACAATTTGGGTTTATTCATGTTGTTTAAAAGAAATGGGATTATCAAATTGCAATGATATTTAGATTCCACTGAATGTTTAAGAGTACTGAGCAGTTTTATTTTAAAATATCAATATTTAAAATGTCCTATAAACTACATCCTTTGCAAAAAATGTTTACACTTATGACAATTTGGGTTTTTTTTTTTTTTTTAATTACAGCAGATATTGCCTGACAATAAACTTAGGACAATTTTTGATATCGACTTTTAAAAGGTACAAAGGGATACATAATCTCACATTGCTACATCAGCAAAAAAACCTTAAAAGACCACTGCTGCAGCCCCCACCACGAGACACCCAAAGAGATGGGGCTGAGCAGCCTCTTCAGCCTCCCCGTGTCCTGTGCTTCAGCCATCGGGCACTTGGAGTTCTAGTCACCTTTCAGCCACTCCTTTACCTGGACCACCCCACCCCATACCACAGCAGGAGCTGTCTTATGGCTGCTCCGAAGACAGCAGGTGCTGTCTGAGCATGACCCTCTTCCAGATGGAGAGGGTGAAAGAGACAAAAAGGACAAAAGTTCAGAAAGCATCTCACCAGCTCACTGAAGGAAGAGGTGGTTCTTGTGAAATGCTGGGGAGAAAATTCTAAGAGTTCTGAGCAATTTAGTTCAGGAATTACAGGAAGCACTCCAGACCTTTAGGGAGTATCATCAGGACCAAAAAGGAAAGGTCCCTGGAGCTGAATGGTGAGGCAGAGAACACAGACGAAACAATTATATTTCAGACCGTGAAAATTCGATGAAGGCAAGCGCAGAATCCTCTTAGTTCTGTAACATCTCTAGCCACTGACAATATCAACCACCAGCTACCTACAACCCCAATTTAAGCCACTGTCCTAGATGTGTCTGTTACTTGTGGCTAAATCCTATTTCTAACAATCCCAGCACTATCTGTACCTTGCTTTAAAAAAACAAACAAAAAACCCCACAACACTACACTGAGATCATTTCCACAAAAAATATAAGGCTTTTAAAAAAAAACCTGAAAGTCCTAAGATAGAATAACAAGACAGAATGCGACTCAGGGAGACCAGGTGGTTAATGAAGTCCTCTGAGTGGGTGGCACTTAACTGAGACTTGACAGACGAGGAGCCAAGTAGGCATGAAGAGCCAGGAGGCAGTGTCCCAGAAAGAGGGAACAATAAGCGCAAAGGTCCTGAGGCAAGAAGGCAGCCAGAGAACAGAAAAAATGACTGGAGTTGCCAGGAACCAGGGACAGATTGTGCAGACATAATGCATACTTGTCCCTTCATAGGAGACCCCAGGCTCTGATGACCAAAGTGAAAGCTGAAGAAAGTAACCCCAGACACCAGTAACAGCTGTGTAGGGCCACAGGGCAGGAAGGAGAGGAGGAGCTGAGAGGACAGGCAGATTAGGCAACACAAGGACAGTGTGGGCTCCTAGAACTAAGAGAGAAAGTCAACCAGAAGGGAGCAAAGAGCAGGATGATGGAGAAAACTAGGACACTGGCTGATAGCTTAAGTGTGGGAAGGATGGGGATTAGGCAGACTAGTGCAGGAACAGGTTCCACTCCAAGCTGTGACCCAGCTCAAATTATTCCCCTTTCACTCCTTTCCTGACCTAGACTTCCTCAGTGTGCAATCTGGGTAGCAGCTGATGTTGGCCTCTGTTCAGTACTACATGCCCATTACACCTTAGGCTCCCTGACCTCTAGGACAAAGGCCACAGAAACTAAAACTGCCCACAAGTTCAGTCCCTCCATACCACTGATGACAACACCCTCAACCACGCACTGAGGACGGGGTTCTAAGGGGTTCCTCCATTGTCTACGGCAAAGAAGTTAAGTTCATCAAGTGAACTGTGGGCGTGGAGATCAGACACATCAGAGTTTAAACACACTGTTTATGCCACTCACTGGCTGTTACCCTGCATAAAGTCATGAAAGCCATCTATTTCAAACAGCCTGTTTGAGAATTAAATACAATAAGGCATGGCAAGGTCAGTGCCCAACACACAGCAAAATATCCAAAAAAGATCTAGTTCGTTCCATTCTTTCCAATATTGATGGGCTCAACCGAGACAGGCTCACAGCTCCACTACTTTCTGGCTGTGTGACTTTGAGTAAGGCACTTTCAACTCTGAACCTTAGCTGCTCAGTAAAATGGAGATGATTACATCACTTATATCGCATGGCTCTTGAAGGAATTAAGTGAGGGGGGCGTAAAGCGTCAGGAACAGCTTCTGACATAGTAACTATACAATATCCGTCACCTGCTATTATTAGTGAGTGCGAACAAGATGAGGAATGTGCTGGGGAGGGAGGAGCAAGCCTATAAACCAAGCTCAGGTCTCGGCTGCTGGGGAGGCCGGGAGCAGTGGCTTACTGGACAGTATACCTAGCCTCTTGAGAAACACTCACCTGGTGGTTCCAGATAGAGCCCTCTTTGCTGCGTTCGTCAGGGGTCAGACGTACATACTGGCTCGTGAGCATAGTGCTGCCCTGGAAGTCCCAGAGAGGCATAGAGCTGGAACCGACCCCTGTGGACAAAAAGACGGGCACACACAAGTGCGTTCGAGGCCATGTTAGGACTGGCCACGACAGAGGCAGGAAACACACAGAGCTGCTCTGCTCAACAGAAAGGGCACGCCTTCCCCCAACCCTGACCTGCCTCGCCCTCACCTTTCACTCATTCCCGCCCCGAGGGCCTCACCTTGGTAGGGCTTGATGAGCGAATGCTCCCGCTTGAGGTGTTCACTGTTGCCGTCAGTTATATCGGCAGCTACAGAACCCAGCAACACAAGAAAGAGTAGAGGTGTAGTGGGGCCGGGGCCGGGGCCGGAAAGCCCAGGCCTCCCCAGGCATCGCCGGCCCCAGCCCCAGCGCCAAAACCAGCTTTCCGCCGCCATTCTCCTCTCCTCTCGGCCACTTCCGCCCTAGGACTTCCGCCTTCCGGGTGTCCCATCTAATGGCCTCCGGCCGGAAGCCCTCCAACCCTAGCCTCGCCGAGGGGTTAAAAAGCAAAGCCTCGCAGCTAAGGGGGCGGCGGCTTTATTGGCTAGGCAACCCCTCATCCTGGTCGAGCGCCGTTCCATCTCCTCGATGGCTCCAAGGCACCTGTCGGCCAGCTTGCGCAATGGGTTCTTACGAGCGACAAGAGCTACAACCAATCACGGAAAAGCACGTTAGGCTTGTGAGCCAATGAAGAGCAGAGATATGGTTTGATCCGGCTGGCAGCGAGAAGGTCGTCTGCGAAGCGGGGCATGCTGGAACTTGTAGTTTTTGTGGGCCACTCAACTGGGCTGGAAGTTGGAAGGCTGCAATGCTGCCGGCCTCTGGCCCCAAGTCTTTGGAATAAACCGTTCCCAGTCCGGGGAAAAAGGAGCTCTAAATTGAAAGCAGAAGCCTAGATTCCAGCCCCCACGCCGCCTTGTCCTCACTGGGTGGCCCCGGTCCAGAATTTAAGCCCTCTCTGGCTTCATCCACCCCAGCTCCATGCCTTCAGAGACTCAAACCCAGTTATTTGAGAACCTCCACTACCCCCGACTCCTCAGGCCTCTGGGGAAGCAAGAGGAGCAGACCTAGATCCTGGCCTGGGACTCCAGTGGTGGTTGGAACCCATCGGGATCCAAACGAGCGCAGGGCCAGGTGCAGCAAGAAGTGTCCAAGAAAGGTCCAGGAAAGCCGGCTGAATCAGAGGTCAAAAACTGGTGGCTTGCAGCCAAATAGAGCACTGTTTTACCTGCTAATACTATTTAAATAAATCAGGACACTTAAATTCACATTAGAAATCCTGATTTCCATTTCTTTTATGAAAAAAACGGAAGATGTAGGCCCACATTTCCACAAGAGAACGATGGGCTGGAGCTGAATGGGACTGCCCCTCTACAGACGCCTTCCTCCTCTAAGCTAGTTCCCACTGGGCCACTAATCTACAACACTTGCCTGGCCCCTCTAGACATTAGAATTAATGACTCCTGTTATAGACCATAGAGTGAGATGTTGGTTGGTTGCTCCTTTATTTTATTTGAGAAGCTGCCCTCTGAAGTGAATGAACTTATTCAGGATTGAGTGCTGAGATGTCTTTTCTGGGTCATATATTTTTAATTAGTTTTTTTATTAAAGTCATACATTCTTTGTGTGGGTGTGTGTGTAGAGTGAGAAAGATAACTGACACACAAAACACAACAAAAATCTTCTGCCAGTCCCCTCCCAAACAATGTACCCTTCCAGAGATTTTCCTATACCTATACAAACAAGGACATACACATTCCACCAGACCTCCATGAGGGCTGGGATTTTTGTCAGCCATAGTCACTACTGAATCCCCACCATCTAGAATAGTGCTTGGCACATAGGAGATGATTAATAAGTAATTGGTGAAAAAATGATTATTCTAGAACCTGGAATCAGGTTATGAAGAAGGAATAGGAATTTACTAGGAAAGGGGAAACCATTGTCAGCAAAGAGAACAGGAGATGCAAGGCCAGGGAGGGATGTCTGAAAGCATAAGGAATTCAAGCAGTTTGGAATGGCTGAGAAGTCCAAGGGGAGGGGGTAGCAAGTGGCTGAGGCCAAAGCCTGAAGGACCTTCAATTCCCAGCTAAGGAACATGGCCTTTTCCCAGGACTGCATGGGATAGTTTAAGCATGGGCATGACCAATGTGGATTTCTCTGGCTATGGTGAGAAGAAGAGGTTGGAGGGGGCTGTCGGGTAGGGAGACTGATGTTATTATGACCAGAGGAGAGGGGGCAAGGCCTAAGCCAAGGAGAGCTCCACAAGGAATGAGGGTCAGAAGTCCCAGCTGGAGACCAGATGTCAGTAACTGATCCCTGTGGGAAGCCAGAGGAAGAGAAGCTGAGAACAGTGTTCTGTGGCTTGGAGGCACTGCCCTACTCTCACGGAGTAGAGAAAACTAGATAAGGGCCAAGAGATGGGCAGTCCCAGGGTGAAGATGTGGTCAGAGCTGGGTTTGGCATCCATGGTGCGCAGGTGGGGACAGGAACCTCTGCAACAGCAGGGAGGACGGACTTAGAAGGGGGTCCCAGGCAGAGCCTGTGACTGGGCCTTTGGCAGGGGGACGAGCTGTTGGCACCTGGGCTGGTGGTGGCACAGGCACATTCACAGCGTAGCAGATCTCCTAACAGGATGTATAACCTTGGGCAACTCACTTCTCTCTGAGCCTCAGTTTCCTGTTTCTGTAAAATGGGAATAATGAGCACCTCACAGAGTGGTTGTGAGGATCAAATTAAGTCATGTTGGGAGAAGACTGTGCAAACTGTAGAGCCCCCTGTAAAACCTAGGCCTGGATTCGTGCACAGCAGACAGGCAGTCTCCACTCACAGCACACACTCTGCCATCCCCCAGAGGCACACTGACAGTCACACACCTTATTAAGACCCGCATTGGCAATGGGCCAGGCCCAAAAGCAACCCCCACCCCTCCCCCTTACACACATCGCATCTGACTGAATCCCTCCATCTGGGTGGCCCGAAGCAAGGTGTCTGGGAAGAGGTGTTGGCTAGAGCAGTTGCTAGCTGCCGTAACAAGTAGGCCCTAGTGTGCGCAACAGCTCAAAGAATTTCATTTCTTGCTCACGTGACTGTCGGACGCTGGCGTTCCAGGGCGATGGGTGGCTTGCCTTCACGCACTGCCGCACAGACCTTTGCTCCTTCCTTCTTGTGGCCCCACGATCCCCTGGTCCTCTCATCTTCTGTATCTACCCAGCTGAAGGAGAAAGAGAGAGGGTGGAGGGCACACACCTACTTCTTCAAAACCTTGGCCCAGAAATGACACATGTCACTCCATTTACATTTAATCAGTGGTAACTGGTCACATGGCCACACCTGACTGAGGCAGCTTGAGAAATTAAGTTTAGCCAAGTGCCCAGAAGGAAAAGGACACGAATGCGTGGAGAAGAGCTACCCAGTTTCTGACACTGAAGGGCTCAGGTCACAGCCCAGAGGAGAGGCGGCAGTGGGACAGAGGGTGGAATAAGGAGACAGGGGTGGGGGATTGCCTTGTCCCTATAGAAAGAGTAGCCCAAGCTAGAGTGGTGGGTGCCTTGAGGGCTCTAAGTAAGCCCATACTTAGAGTAAAATATAAGTCCTTACAGTGGGGGCGTGCACATGTAAGACAGAGGCAAACTGCGGTCTCTGGTTAAAGGACCTAAGTTCATCTAGGGTTGAGTCAGGGCTGGAAGGACAGGGCACCACCCTTCAGCTGACATTGCTTGCTATGAACTGAAGTTGTGTCCCCCCAAAATTCGTATGTTCAGGCTAGGTACGGTGGCTCACACCTGTAATCCTGTATCCCAACATGCTGGGAGGCTCCACCAGGATGATCACTTGGGGCCAGGAGTTCGAAACCAGCCTGAGCAACATAGCAAGACTCTGTCTCTACAAAACATAAAAAAAAAAAAAAATTAGCCAGGTGTGGTGGCATGCATTTGTAGACCCAACCACTCAGGAGGATGAGGCAGGAGGATCACTTGAGCCCAAAAGTTAAAGGCTGCAGCGAGCTATGATCATGCCACTGCACTCCAGCCTGGGCAACAGAGTGAGACCCTATCTCCAAAAAAAAAAAACAAACAATTAATATGTTAAAACATGAACTCTCAGCCGGACGCAGTGGCTCATGCCTGTAATCCTAGCACTCTGGGAGGCCAAGGCAGGAGGATCGCTCAAGGTCAGGAGTTCAAGACCAGCTTGAGCAAGAGCAAGACCCCGTCTCCACTAAAAATAGAAAGAAATTATCTGGACAACTAAAAATATATAGAAAAAATTAGCTGGGCATGGTGGCACATGCCTGTAGTCCCAGCTACTCGGGAGGCTAAGGCAGAAGGATCGCTTAAGCCCAGGAGTTTGAGGTTGCTGTGAGCTAGGCTGACGCCATGACACTCTAGTCCAGGCAATAGAGCCAGACTCTGTCTCAAAAAAAAAAACGAACCCTCAATGTGATGGTATTAGGAGATTGGGACCTTTATGATGGCATTAGTGCCCTGGTAAGAAGAGACAGGAGACAGCTGGTTTCCTTTGTCTCTGTTCTCTACCGTGTGAGGACACAACGAAAAGACAGCCCTCTGCAAACCAGGAAGAGGGACCTCACCAGACACCAGATCACCTGGCACTTGAACTTGGACATTCCAGCCCCCACAACTGTGAGAAATAAATGTTTTTGTTTAAGCCACTTGGTCTTTGGTATTTTTGTTATAGCAGCCTGAGTGGACTAAGACAATAATCCCAAGGTGGGATTTCTACCTGAGTGAGTGTGAATGCACATATGTCTCTGGGCACAGATGTACCTGATGTGTTCCCCTACCCAGGTACGTAAGCATGTGCATGGTTGCACATGTCACTGGGGTGTCTGAGTACAGATGTGTCTATTTGCAGTTGTGCCTGTCACGTGTGCCTGTCCAGGAGACTGTGCATGCATGTAACCATACACCTGGGTACTCCTAATGAGAGAGAGCACACGTGTTTATATTTATTTATTTTAGAGACAAAGTCTCACTCTGTTGCCCAGGCTGGAGTGCAGTGGTGCAATCATAGCTCACTGCAGCCTTGAATCTCTGGGCTTAAGCAACCCTCCTGCCTCAGCCTCCCAAGTAGTTGGGACTACAGGCGCACACCACCACACCTGGAAAGCCCATGTGTTTATGGCATGCACAAGTGAATTGTCTGTGTGTACGTGGCCATGCATGCAAGTTGTCCATCTGTCTGCACGTCTGGGCACATGCGTGGGAAGACAGCCTGTAGGTGTGTGGGGACAGGCTAGTAACTGCACGTGCACAACTGCTGGGGGCAGGGTGCTGAGTGTGCACTGGGCACACAGTAGGTATGAGCGTATGCTGAGTAAAGTACACATGTGGAGACGCAGGTCCCGGTGCATGAGTATGCATGTTCGCAGGAGCTCTGCCATGGTGTACAAAGGTGCCTAGGTATGTTTACATGCCCTCCTGTGCAACCAGACATGACCTTAGGTCTCCCTGGGCTGGGCCAGACAAGCTGGCTCCTCGCCGGGCACATGGAGGCCTCTGCTGTGTGTCGGTGCTTGTGTGGGAAGCTGCCAAGGGTGTGTTGGCAGCATGTGTGTGCGTGTGTGTGTGTGTGTGTGTGTGTGTAGGAAGAGGCGTTCGCTCTCTTAGACCTTGCTTCTTTCTGTGGTTTGGTTTCTATAGAGACACTTCCTGTGGCAGAGAAAAGAGGTAGTGAGCTGGTGTTTCAGGATGTGAGGGCCCGCGGGAGCCGAGCGGGCTCTCTCCACCGCCTGCCCACCACTGTGCAAGCTCTGGCCAGCACTGCCCACAGTCCCCATGGTGGGCAGCCCCCGTGGCGGGGACCCGTGATCTGAGGCGGCATGCCAGGGAAGCCCAAGCACCTGGGCGTCCCCAACGGGCGCATGGTGAGTGTGGGCTCTGGGCCAGGGCCACGAGGAGGGGGTGGGCACACCCAGGGTAGAGCCCAGGAGGCACACCCAGCAGGGCTGGGCAAGAGCTCACGGGCTGCCAGCAGGTGGGAGAAGTTGGGTACAGACAGCAGCAAGCGGTGGGACCCGGTGCCCTCACCCTTCCAGATGGCCCTGCTGGGAGCCTGGTACAACCCTGGGGCTGAGACCAGAGCAGAGCGGACCCAGGCTTCTGGTCTAGCCCCCACTGCTCCCTCACCTGCTGTTGGTGTGAGCCTGATCTGGGGCTGCGTCCCACAGCAGCCGGGAGACCTGCTGTGCCCCTTGCCCCCGTCCCCCCGCACAGTGGCCCAAGCCCCCACACCTCACTCAGCCTCAATCCTCCCCTCTTCACCCGTGCCCTAGGTGCCCAAGGTCAGGTTAGTGACAGCCCTCGCTGGGTCACTGCCCTCTAGCCAGACCTGCTCCAGAGGCTCCCTGCCAGAACTAGCGTTCTTTGGGCAGCCTGGATGTGTCAGTGGGGTAAGGCAGGTTGGTGCAGCTCCTGGAAGTTCCTGAGCTTCCAGGGGGGCTGAACACTGGGAAGCCCTGGCTGCAGCTGCCCCACCTGCTGTGCACTCTTCCTGGCTGCCTAACCCTTCATTTGAGCTGCCCTTGGAGGTGAGGTGAGCTGTGCTGAGCCTCCCTTCTCTCTCCAGGGCCCCCCCTGCTTGGCAGAATCCCTCCTAACAACCTCAGGAAGGCCAGTGTCCTAGCCTCCCCCACCAGGCCCCAGCCTAGTACTATGGGACAAAGCCAACGGATCCAGAGAGATCTGGGTTCCAGTCCCGGCTCTGTTGTCCCTTGGGGAATCCTCTCTGACCCTCAGTTTCCTCATCTGTAAACCAGGGAGATTGGAATGGATCTCAAAGGCTTGATAAGATAAGTAAGTGGAATAGTGAATACGAGGCCCTTGGCCCATTGCGGGGGCTGTGTAAATGTCAGCCTGACACCCCTACATTTTCAGCCCCTCTTCAGCTGAGCTGCCCACCCCTACTCCTGCCTCCTAATTCCCGAGATCTGCTTCTGTCTCTCCTTCCTCTAGCACCTCCTCATGGCCCAGGCCAGGCCAGCTGGGTGGGACAGAGGCAAGTCCTCCAAAGCCCGCTCAGACCCCACCTTGCTGTCTCTACTGCCAGCCCAGCTGTGAAAGTTCAAGAAGAGCCCATCTGCCCTGCATGCCCACCCCAGTGGCATGATGCTTGGCTCGCCCCTGCTGGGCTGTCCCCGCCAGGGAGCCAAAGAGGAGCAACCCCAGGCCCACTTGGGAGGGCAGCTGGACTGATGCTTCTGGAACAGTGTCCAGAACTGCAGGGCAGCTGAGGGACCTGGAGACAAACCTGCCTCTGCCCCTCCTGTGTCAGCCGTGACTTCTCCACCCAAGAGTCATTCAGAGTAGGGAGGGCGCCCCCAGACTCTGCCCCAGTTCCATCCAGCCCACGGATGCCCTGCTCCTCTCAAAACTACCCCACACAGTTTACCTTTGCCCTTCCTGTGCCCGTTGTGAACTCTGTGCCATCTCTGTGACCCTTAGAATCCCAAGCGTCACAGATTGCCTGCTGGCTGGTCACTAGGCAGTTCTCTGAGGCCACTCTTGGCCAGGGCAGTAGGGGTGGACAGGCACTGGCATCGTGGCAGGGGTGTGGATGGAGAGCACCTGGGGCCAGGTGTCTGGACCCTCTGCAAGTCACCTCCCAAGGGAGGCTCAGAAGAGTAAACAATGTGCAGCAGCGAGTAGGGGGTCAGCTTCTGGACCTCCCGGCCCACCTGGCTCGGCACCCTCCACCCGTCATTCCCAGCCACGCAGCTTCAGCCGTCAGCCTCGCCTCTGCCACTCAGCTTGTCAGGCAGTTGCGGTGAAACCTGTCACTTAGAGGTGGCTCCCAGCCCCCTCCCAGGGATGTGTTCACACAACCCCAAATGCCATTTCATTTGTTCACTCATTCATTCACTCACTCATTTAGCAACCCCTCCTCAGGGCCTGGTCAGTGCTGCCCTACCCTAGGCGCGGCAGACCCAGCCCACCAGCCCTACCCTGCCCTCATGCAGCCCCCGGTCTAGCAAGGCACAAAAGACACAGGCAAAAGACCAGAAGAAAATTCAGGGTTGGGTGACAGCCACACAGGTCAGGGGTGGAGAAAGCTTGACCTGGACTCAGCAAGGGAGAACTGACTTCTTGACTGGCTCCGTACGCCATGGCATAGGGGCCAGTGCCTGAAGCATACCAGGCTAGGGGAGGGAAGGGCACGGCAGAGGCCTGGATGTGGGAAAACAGGGCGTGTGTACAGGGACGTGGCCCGAAGGGAGGCTGGGAGTTAAGCCTGGAGAGGGGCAGCTGTCCTATTCCGCCACTGTCAGGGGGCCTGATTAGTCGTCCCCTCCTGGCAAGGAGACTTGCAAGGCAAAGCCCACGTATCTCCCTCTGTGTTTCTGGCATCCAGCTTGGGGCCAGGCACTCAAGTTCAGGGTGGCCTTATAGACAGGTCAAGGCTAGGGGTCAGCTCCACAGCGTGGCTCAAGTTGACGGGACCAGACACCCAGGTTCTGTGTGGACATCCCCAGAGAGAGTCTTGCAGCCTCAGTTTCCTCAAGCTACGATGAAATGGTAGAGGGGCCAGCACAGAAGATGCTCAGTAAATCGGCGCTCCCTTCAAGGCCTGGCCCCTCCAGAGGGCACAGTTCAAGAGGAGCCCCTGGGCCCTTCATCCCAATCGGTCTTGGCCACCTGTGCCCTGCAGGCTGGGGCCCTGGGCCTCCAAAGCCCTCCTGGCCCCCACAGGGAAGCACCTGGATGGAGGACGGGGAGATTTCAGGCTCCAGAGTCAGGCAAACCTAAGGTTTAATCTCAGCTCCGCCACTTCCCAGCTGTGTGATTTTTCGGGGCTTGGTTTCTCATCTGTAAAATGGGGGCGGTAATACTTGCCACGCAAGATAAAGATGCAAAGGTGGAGTGAGAACACGATGTGTGCTACCAGAGGGTGCCTGTCACACAGTCAGAGCTCAGGGAACTTGGGGCTCTCCCTCACTTCGGTATTCTCAGGTACCAGCAGCTCCTCCAGGGCCCACTTCCTAAGAAAGAAGTATGGGCGGCTGAGGTCCGACCATGGGTCGGGGGTGTCACTGGCCACCACACCCTTCCTCACCCTTTCTTCCCCTTTTCCCCATCTACCCACCACTTCTCCTCCAGCAGGCTAAGGGGGGGTGAGGCCAGCCCTGCTCAGCACAGCTGGCGGGGCTGCTTTCGACCTTCCCAGCAGCCTCAGGAGACCGGAGTGCTGAGCCCCACACTACACAGCAGGAAACTGAGGCTCAGAGAAGTTACTTTCCCCCGGACGGCAGAGCTGAAATCGGACTCCCTCCCATGTTAGAGTTCCACCCTACACGGTCTCAGCTATGTGTCAACAGCTAGGGGCAGGAGAGGCTGGGCTGGAGCACTGCGGGCAGCAGATGTGGGCGTTCAGAGGCCCAGTGTCCCTGGTGAAGGGGGTGCCAGGGCAGGATGCTCGTGGCTGCTGGGGAGCACCAGGGCAAGGAGGGTGCTTCTTGAGAAGGGTGTTCGGATGCCACCCCCTCATCAACCAGGCATGTCTTCCAGGGGCGACTAGACTGGCAAGGAGAGGCCTGGACAGGGGTGGGCATGCGTGTGGCGGGAGGTGGATCAGGGGCTGGGTTGGGTGGACTAATGTCAATGGGCAGAGATCAGGGAGCCATGCCATGGCGGGCGTGGGAGCAGATACCCAGGCAGAGGCAACGGCAAGGCTGGAAGCAGGAGTGTGCAGGAGTGTGGGGAAAACAGAAAAGTTTGATCAAGTGTAGGGTGGAGGTGAGGGGGAGGGAAATGGGTGAGGCTGAAGGGGTTCATTAGTCAGGCTCAGGTAAGGTTTTGTCTGTAACCTGGCAACCGTGCCTCTGGGAGCAGGGAATGGGCCTGGGTGGGATGACGAGAGGGGAGGGGCCTGGAGAGGAGGACCTGGGCGCCAGCCCCCTGACGACACAGACATTCTATTGAACAGAATGTAGAAAATAAAACTTCTGAGGGCCAAACAAAATCAGAGTGTGGGCTGGCAGCAGCCCCAGCACCCGTGGCCACCTCTGGGGCTCCTGCAGCCACCGAGGGCTCTGAGCACGGGAGAGGCTGATGGGGTTAGAGGGCAGGACAGAGGCTCGGTGGATGCCCAAGGAGGGCAGGGCCAGGCAGCCACAGCAGAGGATGGAGTCCGGATGATTCTGGGAGCACGGAGCAGCCTGGGGGCGCAGGCAGGTGCAGGACGGGGAAGCTGTGGGGGGAGGGCAAGTGTAGGCTGGAAGGAGCCCTCTTCACACCCGAGGCAGAGATAGGACTTTCTCCTGTAGCCGTGGAAGCACCGCCTCTCGCGGGGGGAAATGACTGTCATAACGCAGGTCACCCGGGGGAGGGCAGAGGCTGGGGGCGCAGGCCAGCAGGAGGCGGCAGGACGGTGTACTGGAGCGGCTCCCCGCCCAGCCACGCTCTGCACACAGTTTCTGTCGCCAGAGACTTCGTGTCCCAGAGCGCCACAGGGGAGGCGAGCTCAGGAAGGAGCCCAAAGTTGTAAAGCTAGAAAAAAGCAGGGCTGGGATTTGAATCCAGGTCTGACAGACCCCAACACCTGTGCTCTTTCCTCTATGGCAGGGGTGGCAGGTGCCCAGGAGGGTCAGGCACCAGCACTAATACAATAACCCCAACAATCGTAAGGTTCCTTGAACATTGACTACATGTCAGATAGTGTTCTGAGTTCTTTATATATATTTAACACATTTAATCGCAGCACTCCTTTGAATCAAGACCATTATTTGCCCCATTTTTAGAAGAAACTGAGGCACAGAGAGGTTAAGTGCCTTGTCCAAGGTCACACAGCACAAATTTGACCTCCCAAATTTGAGCCTGTCTCAAGTAACATTCATGCATCAAACTGGCCCCAGGGGCCCCTGAGGAGAATGTGAGCCTCTTCTAGGGAAGGTGGTGGCTGCTCAGTGCCAGCCAAGGTTGTCATACTGGGAAGAAGCTGGAGCATCAGAATCTTAACAGACAGAAAGCTGGGGTTTTGTGTAAAAATCTCTTGATTTTTAAATGTGGGAAACCTCTTTAAACTTAAAAAACTCTGAAGGCCAAGATAATAATAATGTCCTACATATCTGCAGGCCGATCTGACCCTCGAATGGCTGCTCTGTGAACTGGGTGCTCCCAGGGTGGGTGGGGAGCAGAGGAGATTCCAGCCAGGAGGGCAGGGGGTGCTTTCTTGGGGAGCAAATGTTTGCAGGCCTGTTTCTGGTGGGGATGGAAAGAAGAGACAGCGCATAATGAAAAACGGGGGCCGAGGATGACCCAAGCCCCGGTGTGGGGAGCCCAGGCGCTGGAAGAAAGCTGGGATACAGTGAAGCTGGGTGGGCTCTCTGTTTTGGTGGGGGCAGGGGGTGCCTCCATCTGGGACTGGCTGAGTTTGAGGGGCTCATGGGACATTTGGAGGGAAATGTTAGCAGGAATTTGGCTGCTTTTGGAGCTGGGGATCCGTGGATGGGACAAAGGGCCTGGGACAGAGCTAGGGAGGGGCAGAGGCCACACCGCGTGGGTAGGTGTTCATGAGGAAGCTGGAGAAGCTGCTAGGAAGGTAGAAAGAGAGCCAAGGGAAACCACGGCTAGAGTCATTTTGAGAGGAGGGTTTTTCTGTTTCACTAGTGGTTGGGATTCCCAGAGAAGTGGAGTTGGCCTCTCCAGCATGCTACCCACAGTGCGGCCCCTGGGCCAGCAGCACCAGCACCGCCTTGGAGCTTCCAAGAAACAGAGAGCCTCAGGCCCCATCCCAGACCTACTGACCCCGAATCTCCAGGGGTGGGGTCCTCCCAGTCACTCTACACTAAAGCTTGAGAACCACTGCTCTACACTACAAAACAGCATCCGGTGCTGCCCAAGGTGGGGTGGGACCTGTCAGAGACCCTGGGCCCCAGAAGGAAACAGTTGCAATAAGGCAATCATTGGCTACCGGGCCACCTCTCCTTCCTCAAAGACAACAGCAAATGTTGATATAGCCTTACCACATGCTGGTCACTGCTCTAGATACTGTAATTAGATTAAACTGATTTGGTCCTCACAACAGCCCCGGGAAGGAAGATTCTATTATTAGTGTCATCCCCTATTTACAGATGGAGGTAAACTAGTTAACTAACTTGCCCAAAGTCACACAGCTAGTAGGTGACAGAGACAGGCTAAAGTCTGCTCCTATCTACCACACTATGCACACTGGGCTCACCTAGCAGGGCGACTGGAAGGTACCTGACATAAGTCCCTGAACACAGTGGTTGGCACAGGACGGAGAGGGAGCAAAACCCTGGCCAAGCAGAGACTTGCTGGGGATGGCCAGCATGGCTCTCCATGTGGAGGAAGACACAGTTCTAGCTCCTGTGCGCTGGGCCCAGAACTGTCCCTTGGGAATCCTCACTGAACCTGGCTCTGACTTTCCACTTTGGGTCTCTTGTAGGTCCTGGCTGTCTCAGATGGAGGTGAGTAACAGCATGTGTGGGGGAGGCCTGGCTGAGGGGGAGGGAGGAGGGAGTGGAAACGGATGTGGACACCCCTGCCCCTTGCTATCTTTCCAGAGAAGGTGCCTGCAGAGCAGATGCCCACCTGGGGGTGGGCTTCGGCCAGGGGCTGGGGAAGGCAACAGGCTCACCCCTGGTTGTCCATCCCCCTGCAGAGCTGAGCAGCGTGGCAGGTCCCCAGGGCCAGGGCGAGGGCCGCGGCAGCTCCCTCAGCATCCACAGCCTCCCCAGTGGCCCCAGCAGCCCCTTCCCCACCGAAGAGCAGACCGTGGCCAGCTGGGCCCTGTCCTTCGAGCGGCTGCTGCAGGACCCACTGGGCCTGGCTTACTTCACTGTAAGTCCTGGGGTGAGGGGATGGGAGAGGGGCACGGGAGGGCATGGATGGAGCTTCAGGCTGGTCAGAGCCGGCTCCTCTGTCACTCCCTCTGTCTAGCCTTCCTTTGGCACCCTCTTCCTCTTCTCCCAGCTGGGAGCTCTTCTTCCTTCTCTGTCCTTGGCTCTGCCTCTCATTTTCTCTGTGCCTCCAGAACTGGCTCCATCTGTCTGTCTGGCCCTATCTGTCTGGCTTGGTGTCTTGGCCCTGTCTCCGGAGACTGTCTGTAGTCCCAGTCTCTTCGAGCACATCCCCAGATTCCATCTCTGTGTCTCTGACTGCGCCCGCCCCCCAGGAGTTCCTGAAGAAGGAGTTCAGCGCGGAGAACGTGACCTTCTGGAAGGCCTGCGAGCGCTTCCAGCAGATCCCAGCCAGCGACACCCAGCAGGTGGCGAGTAGGGCGAGCTGGGCAGGGGATGTGGGGGGGCCCCGGGCCTGCGCCACGCCCCCGACCTTCTCCTGTCCCTCCTCCCTCAGCTAGCTCAGGAGGCCCGGAACATCTACCAGGAGTTCCTGTCCAGCCAGGCGCTGAGCCCAGTGAACATCGACCGGCAGGCCTGGCTCGGCGAGGAGGTGTTGGCCGAGCCCCGGCCGGACATGTTTCGGGCACAGCAGCTTCAGGTGGGCGGTCCCGGGGGCGTGACCTTGGAGGGGAGAGAAAGGGGCAGGGACCGGGTCAGATCCTGGGGCCGAGCCTGAGCGGCGAAGGGGAGGTGAATGTGGAGGCGGGGACGGGGCCCATGCAGGGGCAGGGCGGTGGTCAAAGGGCTGTACGAGAGGCTGCGGAGAAGGACGGGCCAGCGGCGGAGCCTACCTGAGCACCGGGGCGGGGCCACGAGTGGGGGCAGGGCCTGGCCCCTGGAGGTGGGCACGGAGGTGAGGGCGGGGCTAGGGGTTCCCCCGGCCCAGGTTGGGGACCGGGTCGGCCCCGGCTCACGCTCCCCGCGCTGTCCCGGCAGATCTTCAACTTGATGAAGTTTGACAGCTACGCGCGCTTCGTCAAGTCCCCGCTCTACCGCGAGTGCCTGCTAGCAGAGGCCGAGGGGCGCCCCCTGCGGGGGCCCGGCTCCTCACGCCTCGGCAGCCCTGACTCCACGAGGAAGGTGCGGACGGGGTTGGGGCTGGGCGGTCGGAGGCAAGGGGCCCTGTAGACCGTACGCAAGAGGGGACGCCTCCCGTGCAGATCTGCGGGTGTGTGCCCACAGTCTGCGTGCGGGCTAAGGCCCAGCCCGGTGCCAGCGCCTTCCCTGTACCCGCAGAAGCCGAAGCTGAAGGCCGGGAAGTCTCTGCCTCTGGGCGTGGAGGACTTGGGGCAGCTGCCATCTGCCGAGGGTCCTGGGGGCCGCCCGCTCCGCAAGTCCTTTCGCAGGGGTGAGGGCAAGAGTGGGCCACAGAGACGGGGTACAAGAGTTTGGGCAAATTTGGGGAGCTCTCCCTTACTCCTACGTGGCCCACAGCCAGTCGAGTATGTAAGTCTGTGCAAATCAAAACGCAAGTTCCTGTGACCACATTCCCCTGGGTGGCTAGGCCCCAGAAGTTCAGAAACCACACTGGGCCCCTGCCGGATGGCTCTAAACAAGGTCCACCAGGGAGGGGAGAGGCTTTAGCAGAGGGATGGGTGAGGGGCGGAGGGGCTGTTCAGGTTCATTGCTTCCTCTTCCCTAGAGCTGGCCAGCGGGGCTGCAAACTCCGCCTTGCGCAGAGAGTCTCAGGGCTCCCTCAATTCCTCCGCCAGTCTGGACCTTGGTTTCCTTGCCTTCGTCAGCAGCAAATCCGAGGTGAGCCGACTCCCCAAGGAGACCAGGGGCCTTATGGGCTAGGGCCACTGCTCAGGCCCCTCTATGTGGTTGCCATCATTCCCAGCCTTGGGCCCCACTGCCATCTCCCAGCTGGCTCTGCACAGCCAACCCTTCAGCCTCCTCACTTTCTTCCCGTCCTCACTACATTGGTCCCCACGTGTGTGATGGGTGCACATCCTCAGTCAGCAGGCGTGTGGGCATGTGCGTGCCCAGACGTACACAGCATGTGTGTGGGTCTGTGGGTGGACCTGTCTCTAGGTACCCATATGCCTGGGTGTACATGCATGTGTTCCTGTAGGAGGACGTACCTTTGCCTGCCTATAGGTATGCCCTTGGGCATGTAGGTGCATGTTTGAGCCCCAGTGAGTTTGCCCATCTCTGTGTATCTGTGTGCATGCCCTCGCCACTCCTGCCCCAAATCAGAGCCACCGGAAAAGCCTTGGGAGCACAGAAGGCGACAGTGAAACCCGGCCAGGGAAGTACTGCTGTGTGTACTTGCCCGATGGCACAGCTTCCTTGGCCCTGGCCCGACCCGGCCTCACCATCCGCGACATGCTGGCAGGGATCTGTGAGAAACGAGGACTCTCGATACCCGACATCAAGGTCTACCTGGTGGGCAATGAGCAGGTGCGAATCTGGCCTGGCCCCAGCTACAACCTTCTTCCTGATCCTGACCCCAACTCCGTTCCTCTCTCTGCTCAGTGATGACTCCAAACCCAACTCCATTTCTAATCTCTCAGACCAACTCTAATTCAAACCCCACCTTCCTGACTCCAGCCCTCACCACAGCACTCCCATCCCCACACCCAACTCCAAACCACCCCTAGCACCAGCTTCTCACTCAAACTCAGACACCCACCCATCCCCCACCCAATACCCATCCATTTCCAGCTTCCCTAGAGCACATATCCCACTATGTGGGCTCAGGGGTGAAGCAGGGGAGAACCACTGCTGGAGCTGGGCTGTTTCCCGTCGCTCTTAGTTCAGAGTGCCATCCCCGCAGGCCCCTCTGTGGGGAGCCCTTGCCTCCTCAGCCACTAGGGGCAGCCGACTGCATCTAACCAATGAACTGCTTTCCTTTAGGTGCACACTAGCATTAAACTTTAAAGAAGAGTCTAGGGGGAAAAAAACTGGCTTTAAACTTAATCACCCAGCAAGGGGGATATAAAGGAAGAATGCTGCATTCCAGGGGACCGTCAGGATTTCATTCACCTAGCAGACAAGTCTTAAGGCCCTGCCAGGTGGGTGGGTAGAGGGACCCCGACCTGGGGCTGTCCTCCAGGCCCACAGGCTGGAGGTAAGCCAGGCAGGATATGATCAGGAGGAGGAGTGAAACTTCCAGAGTGTGTCTCTTGGGGGAAGGTAGGCACTTCTGGCTGGTGTTTGGAAGACTTCGTGGAAGAAGCAGCAGTTGATGTGGATGGGAACGAGTTTGCCTGGCAGAGCTACGGGGGAGGATGTTCCAGGCAGAGGGAACATCTTAAGGGAAGGCCTGGAGGGGGTACTTGCAGGGCACGTTCAGGGGCCAGGGGCCTGGAGCTTGGGGGTGCAAGGGCAGTAGTAGGGGGTGCTCTACCCACTCTCTCAGGCTGCCAGAGCAGCTGCCAGCAGCCCAGATGGGCTTTCATGCCTGCTAAATATAACTTCACTGCCCACTCTCCACCTGTCCCTGCAGCATAGCATAGGCCCACTGCCTGGGCAAGGCTGCCCCCACCCCCACTCCTGGGCTGGAGCAGGCAGTGGGGCCTCTGGGGGCCATAATCATGGCAGTTACTGTTTATGTGCCTGCTGTGTGCCAGGCACTGTGCCAGATGCTTCATATCCTCTGGCCTCATGGGGGGACATTTTTGCAATGAGTAGACAAGAAGTGTCCTTAGTAGGAGGGAAATGGAGAGAACTGGACAAATGTCAAAGATGGGACAAGGCTTGAGAGGCTGACTGAAGGTGGATGGTGAGGGAGGAAATGCATCCAGCTGGTCTGATGGGGTTTCACATGCCTGAGGGACAAGGGGGCAGCTGTCCAGTGGGTAGGTCCTGTCCTGTCCTGGGAAGCATAGGCCGCCATTACCATTTAATGCCACAGCTGTTTCCTGTAACGCCAATCCTTTTCCAAGCGTGTCCAGCATTCTTGCCGCTTTTCTCCCTGGCCTTGTCCTTACCAGGCTCCGACTCCAGCCTGGAGCCTTATCCGCCACTCCCCGCCTCGTCTGCTCCCCTATAGCTCTCCTGGCCACCTTCCCTCCCTCTAGGGAGGCCCAGTGGCGGCCACAGGGGAAGTGAAGGTGTTCTCTCAGAACCCCCAGGGATGGCTCAGGGTGGGGCGAGAGACTCAGACCCTGCCTGGCATCCGCAGAAGGCCCTGGTCCTGGATCAGGACTGCACGGTGCTGGCGGATCAGGAAGTGCGGCTGGAGAACAGGATCACCTTCGAGTAAGTGTCCCGCCCGCAAGGCTGGCCCTCCTCTGGCTACCTGGCATCCAGGCCACGCCCCTCTTGATAGCCCCGCCCCGGGTTAAGGCCCCGCCCTTTCTCGAGCTTGTACCTTGACGGGTTGGGGGAGGGGGCCGGCCCTCCGCCCCTCGGCATCCCGGGGTCGCGTGCAGGCTGGAACTGGCGGCGCTGGAGCGCGTGGTGCGTATCTCGGCCAAGCCCACCAAGCGGCTGCAGGAGGCGCTGCAGCCCATCCTGGAGAAGCACGGCCTGACCCCGCAACAGGTGGCGCTGCACCGGGTGAGCTGCCGGGCGGCGGGGTCGGGGCCGGGGCAGGGCGGCAGGGAGCCGGCTGCCCGTCCCGCGGGCTACTGACCTCTCCTCGCAGCCAGGCGAAAAGCAGCCACTGGATCTGGAGAAGCTAGTGAGCTCGGTGGCGGCCCAGAGACTAGTTTTGAACACTCTTCCAGGTAGGGAACGTTGGCCCCGCGTTTGATCTCTGGGGACGGCTCTGGCCCTGGAGGAAGGGAGTCCAGGCGGGAGACAAACACTAACGGTGGGCTCTGTGCCGCAGGTGCGAAGATTTCCGAAGGCGGTAACATATCCCCCTGCCGCAGCCAGGTGAGTGAGAGCCGGGGCACCCTCTTCCACCGGCTGCTTCTCCCCTCCTGGTTGTGGCTCTGACCCCACATTCTCACAGGGCTGCCTGCCTAGAACCCAAGACAAGGCCATCCATCCCCCTCCACTGCCCCCCAGTTCGCTGGTGAAGGTGTCCAGTAGTGCCACTGGGAAGCGGCAGACCTGTGACATCGAAGGTATATTGGGGAACGGGGATCAGAGGGACTAATACAGTGGGCTTGAGGACCTTTGAGGGTGACATCAGAGAAGCTTGACCTGAGGCAGAGACCTGGGTGCCATTGGAGGGGTGGGGGACCGGAGGGGCTGGGCCAGGGGCCGTTGGTGCTGGGGTCAGGGAGGCTGTGGCCGCAATAAGACAGCAGAATTGTGGTGAGCTAGCATGATCAGGTCTGCTACGATGGGCCCTCTGAATCTGTGGCTGCCCCCAGGCCTGGTGGAGCTGCTGAACCGGGTGCAGAGCAGCGGGGCCCATGACCAAAGGGGCCTTCTGCGAAAAGAGGACCTGGTGCTTCCAGAATTTCTGCAGCTGCCTGCCCAAGGGCCCAGCTCTCAGGAGGCCCCATCACAGACTGAATCAGCTGCCCAGCCCACTGGGGGAGCCTCGAATTCCACTGCCCACCTGGCCCTCTGACAGCTGCCCTACAGTCCAGGCTGGCTGCATGGTGCCTGGCGGGCCAAGCATGCCCTGGGTCCGCTCTGCATGCCCTGTCTGTGCCATGAGTGTCCTTGGCCCCTTCCTGCCATGGGCAGGCCCGCAGGAAGAGCCAGGAGAGGTGAAAAGGGGACTCAGGAGCCACACCCCACAGCTGCCACCATCTGTTCCCTCATAGGCTCACCCATCCGTGCAGCCAGGCCCCCGGGGGGATGGGGGCCTACCCCTTGGTGCAGGCTTGCCCACACAGAGGGGTGGCGTTGGCAGTGCCAGCCTCCCCAGCCTGTGCCAAGCTTCAGGAGGAGGCAGGAGGAGGGGCCGGCCCCTCCTCGGGAGCTGGTTTGAGCAAGGCCTAGGGGTGCAGACAGGCAGCCCTGTCCTCCACCCACGTAGACTCTACTGTACATAGGGATTTTGCAGTTGGCTTGGGGCAGCTGGGTTTGTCCTGGATGTATGATACTGTTATTATAATAATTGTTATTATTCTGTCATGAGGTGTGTTCCTTGTGTGCCAGTATGCCCTGTTGTCCTCCCACCCCCCGGCCCTAAACCACTGCATCTGACACCAAGGTCAGTGCGAGGAAGCTCTTAGGGACCTCAGGATGTGCCTCCTGACTTCCTGTTTTCAGAACCTCTCTTCCTGACTGCACAGAATATGGGGGGCGGGGTTGCATGAGAGACAGAGGGAGGGAGGAGGGAGGGGTGTGTGTGTTTGTGTGTGTGTGTGTGTGTGTGAAGAACCCTGGGGAGCTGTGCCTCGGCTGTCACTGGGCTGCCCCCCTCGGTGGGTGGGAATACATCAGTCTGGTTGCTGTCCTCTGCTCGTACCGGGCACTGCATCTCTGCACACGTAACTGGGGGCTCCTTTCAGCTCATCAAAGGCCTATGTGGGGGGACGACGGTTGTGGTGAGGGCAGGTTCTCACCCTTGCCTGCTTTGGCTGGGTGGTCTTCCCTGTCCCCAGCCAGGGAAGCCCAGACCCCACACGGGGGAGGCAGGGAGGGCCTCAGCCTGTGGGGAGAGAAGCCAGACTCAGGCCCAGCCCAGAAGGGTAAGTGCTCTGACAGAGGAAGCAAAGGGATGAAAGAAGCCACCTGAGGGGGTGAGGGCTTCTCCTGACTGCCTCAGACAGTTCACGTTCTCTTCCCCATTCCGGTCTTTCCCTTGCTGTCCCCTCTGCCAGGAACTCCCCCTACCTGCCCTCTTCTCATTTAACTCGCTCCTCCTCATCCTTGAAATCTGTGGGAGAAATCAATGGGGTTTCCGAGCCCACGCATCACATGGGAGCTTCAGGCCTCAGCCTGCTCTGCCTCGGCTGGCTTAACCGGACCCCTGGCAGACCTGGCCAATCAGAGCCCTCCATTCCCCTGGCCAATAGAGCACTCGATTCTACTGACTAAGCAGAGTATTACATTCCCCTGGCCAATCAGAGTTTGGTTCAGGGATGGTCATCTGACCCCAGTTCCAATCAGAATCCCAATCCTGGTCATTTTCTGCCATCCCCTGTGGGTTTGTAGAAAGCACTCGAAGGGAGAGAACCTGCACGTGAATGCAGCCAACACATGGGAGCAAGACAGCTGTTCTGTGAAACGTGAATGTAATCAAGGACAATACATAATTAATAAAATAAAATAAATAAAACAGATAATAGACAAGTTCTAAAAACATTTTTAAAAAGACAGAGATGGAAGGAGTTTCCTGACAAAATTCAACCATACCTGAAATCCACTGCTGCTACACCTTCTCTTTGTGCAAGCCAATAAACTCTTCCCAGGTGCACTGTGAATTGGGTTTCCAAGACCTGCAACCACAAAATGCTGCTTCTTTGAAGAGCTGGACTTAAACACCTCAGAGGATCCTTCCCTGGTCGCCCTACATCACCATGGAAGGGCTCCCCGACTTTGTTCTCTGCCATTCTAGCCAGTTTTCTTCCTTCCCAGCACTTACCACACTCTGCAGTTACCTTGTTGACTTTATACTCGTGCCCTGATAGTAGAAACCTTGTCCCTCTTATTCACCGCTCTGGCTCCTTAGCCTAGTGAGCTGACCAATGATGCTGCCATCTCAGTCTCAGCAAAGGATGCAGGGACAGTGGGGCACTGGGTGTCCTGGCCGGGGACTGCATAACACCAACGTCACAGTGTGGGGCCAGGAGTAGGGGTCAGGAGACAGACCCATGTCCCTTCCCTGATCAGCCACAGAACTTCCTTCAAATTTCCTGGGACCTGGGACTTCTCCCTTGTGGGAGGAGACGCCCTTCTTTGCTCCCCAGGATAGAGAGGTAGGGGTACCAGGTGAGAGATGGGCTATCTCCCCAAATTTGGCCAAGCCCAGTGGATCCTGCAGGCCAAACCCACCCTTCACCCAAACCTGCATCTCTGCAGACCCAGCAATGATGCCAATTACTCTTAGGGACCCGCAGGATTGCCCCATGAGAGAGAAGTCATGGGCCAGGTGGAAGAGCACCCATGGAGGTTAGCCCATTCACGTTTACTGAGGTCCCCAAGTTAGACATGCTCCATCCTTTATTTCATTTGCCTTCACAACAAAACAACCTAGCAGAGATCAAATCAAGCTGCAGGAGGGGACATGACTGGCCCAGGACCCTGCAAGGGGTTTTTGCTGGAACGTTTCCACCACCCTGGCTGGCTACCTTGGGGACATACCAGCGAGGGCCTGCGTGCTGTAGAAACCCCTGATGGGGAGCTGGAGCCTCTCCGGGAGAGCACTTTGATGTGGGTACTCTGAGGAGCAATTAGGAGTTTCTGCTAAAAATTAAAAACAGCATGTGACACCAACAATGCCACTAGAGAATCACTCACTTCCAGGCATGAGGAGGCCCATCCCTGCAGGGTTATCCAGGACCCCAAAATACACGCAACCAAATGTGGCTGGAGATGGGGGTCATAAAACATGCTGTGGTGTGTCCATGCTCTGTCATAGCACACCGCAGATAAAGAATTGAGTACAGCATGTCCCAATGTGGAAAATTCTCCAAGATGTGTTATCATTCTGTGAAATAAAGCAGAGCGATACATATGGCACGATACCTTTATATAAACCACAAACACACAGGCACTTGCAAGTGTACAGAAAGGAAAGAGAATGTTCTAGAAGGATACAGGCCAAACTGACAGGGAGACAGGGAGGGGACCAGGGTTGGGGTAGTGGTCAAACGAGAATTTCACATTAGCTTTAATTTTTTTTAAAAAAGGATGTGATTTAAAATAATTGTAATAATACAAATACATGTACTCACTAATACTTGGAAACTAAATGACGGGCACAAAGAGAGAAGTAAAGCACATAGGAAACCAAGAAGGGAAGGGTTAGGAGGGGGCTGAGGGGGAAAACTTACCTATAGGGTACTATGAACACTATCCTGGTGATGGGCACACTAAAGCCCCAACTTAAGCATTATACAAGGTATCCATGTAACGAAAACATTTGTACCCCTTTGAAATATTTTGAAATAAAAAATAATAAAATAAAATAAACAAACGAGCAACTTCTTCCTCTAAAAACATTCTCCATAGTTTTATACAGGTATTATTCATTTATTGATATTTTCCTTGAAAATGACAATAATAAAGTAAAATAA